ACTCGAAATGGAAATAATCCCAACAATTATGAAACAAGAGATTCCTCGAAACCCAACTTTTCTTCGTATAAATATAAGTTTGCTTTATCCACAATGCCAACACAGAATGTGATATAAAAATGCATGAAATTCCTTTAAATACACATCTGCCCTCTGACCCCCCAATGGCAGTTGTGGCAATGTGGTTAACGGGTCAGGATCACATGCTGCACCTTCACGGTTCGACTCCAGCTGGGAGTATTGATAAGACCGAGGCGAGGTCGAAACTGCAGTCCACTCCAGCAGGGATGGGAACACCTTTTAGGAAAGCAAGGCTATGTGAAATTCAATGGAAACGCAAGCTCTAATCATATGATTGTGGGAAAATTCAACTGCCAGTCCTTCATCACCTTAAACTAAATAGTGTCAACACAACTGATATATCTCATTTGCTGGTAGTCTCGAAAACCTACTTAATAACGATAAAATATGGAATAACCGCACTAAGCCACGAACTCGTCAAAGAGACAACGCGAAACGTTTAAGAACGTACCAAGTCCACTCTCCGACTTCGGACTAGGTGCGTTCTACATAGTCGCCCTGACAACAAGACCAAGTTGCGACAACCAGGTCAACCCACTTCTTAAAGTAACCGGGTCTACATGAGCCATTCTGGCAGAAGGCAAGATCTACTATTATCGGAACCAGAAGCATTTGGGAAAATTGTTGGTGAAAATAATTCTTGCAGCCAAGTGACTTTAGATGGAATGTCGATTACTTGCCCCAATTTCTTTCACCGTCTCAGAGCAGGCTTTCATCCAGGCCTCCTCGAGGGCGGCAGCACACTCGCTCGTCCCAGCGCTAAGTTGAATTGTGGACTTTGGGAACTCCAGCATAACTATGATCAGACCCTCGCCTGACTCCTTCTGCACTCCAGGCGTCGCCAATGGCTGTGAGGGGATGGGAAATGATTGTAAAATAAAGAAATTTGTCATGGTGCAAACTATTGGTGCACACCCTTACCTGCAGCACTCGTCTCGGGCTGCAAGCATTTCGCATCGTAAATTCTGGGCCAAAGGTGAGCCGGGTCGGTGGAGCATTCGAGCCATTCTGGGCCGATGAAGGGGATGAAAGGGCTGATGCTTTGCGATTGCCCTCAATGAACCGTCTAGGAAGCCGCAAGATGGTACAACCGCGTCTCATCTGCATTCCAAGGGGTACCACTCCTACATGCGGCCACAGTCGCGGTGGCCTTGTCCGATCCACATTTCTGGTGAAACTAGTATTTGTAATTGTCATCACAATGGACGACACCACTATGTACCGAAAAATTGTTTTTCTAAAGTATCCATTTTGTTTTGACTAAGAAGATGAGTCATTCTGTGTCATCTTTGGTGGTGTATGCAGCGAAAATGTACAGTTGGCTAGTTGCTCATTGGTTGCTAGGGGGCGGAAGGAAGTTGCACATTTGACACCGCTTAATTTGGCAACCAGTCCTACTATAGCGTTTAATTTCAGCACCCTCATGAGGCTGCTATGCTAGAACCACTTGTCGCCAGTGGTTCCCAATTAAAATTTTACGATGGCGCCCTACCCTAATTATGACTATTCGTAAGTAAGAGATACAAATAAATAAAACTCGTGTATCTTCATCATTTTTTTTACTTTATTGACATTAAATTACTATTTCATAATTACTGTGATGGATGAGCCTGCAAATTACGACACATTTTCTCAAATTGAAGCTTTACAATATTTCGCGGCGCACAGTTTGGGAATCACCGGCCTATGCTAATGCTTGCCACGGAAGGACGCACAAAAATGCAGCATGTACCCGGCGGGATCGAGGGCCTGCGCGCCTGAACGCTGGCGACTTTTACACTCAGGCCTGCAGTAAAAACTACGAGACCATCCTCTTGATGGGCTCTCGTGGGATCAGCCTAGGCCTGCCTTCAATCCTCGTTTTAATGTGGGTTTGAAAGTCTAAATAATCTTGTGATTCTGGAGTGAGATGGTGTCTGAAACCTCTGATAGCCGCCTCGCAAAAAATAAACGTTGACTCATCATGTCATAGCGATATATATGCGGTGGCGAATAGCAACAATTCATTTACATGCCATAAA